AGAATAAACTGTTTTTGACACGAAATGCATCCTCTGAATTAAACTGAAAGCCTTTATTAACACATTTAGAACCTTTTCTTTTCTGGCTCCATTGCCTCCTTAATACATATCTTTGCTCACCACTTTTCCACCACGATGTCATAACCACTGCGGGTGTGTTGAGTGAGCACCAGAATGTGTACACTTCCATCTGAAAACAAGTCATGTCTTTGTATTACAGTAAAAGCAGCTGAACGATTGCTCAAAAGGTCATTACAAATTCTGTGAGGTCCTTGTGGTTTACCCTTTCGATTTCTTTACTCTCGATTGCTGTGAAACACTGGCAGACTAGGGATCTAATTCAGCTGTGAGTGAAGTGGATTCACAAATGTAGTCCACACACATGATAACTTATAAATAGTCCACTGAAACCGAATATTGCTGAATACAAGCCGGGCTCTTGCTGGGTTCGGCACAACGTCGGTGGCACCTACTTCATCACAACAGACAGTGTGCAGGGACCAAATATCTTTCCTGTTCCAACTGTGCCAAGGGAACCCCGACCTGGACTCTGACAAAGTGAGTATAAAGTCACAGCTTTCTTTTAGTTTTAATCACTACAGAGACAAAATCAATTCCTTCATGATATTTTGGCTTTGAATCCATTGAATCCCACTTACTTACCGTATTAAAATGCAGCTTGTAAACAATCCAATCAGAAAAAAATCCTAAAGCAAAATAAAGAAACATACCTCATAATCATTACAAAAATTGTTATCCCCAGACATCTATAACCTGTTTGTATGATGCGCATGAAGCAGTTATTCCATCTATTTCTTAAAAGTACATGTATAGAAGATGGAAGATTTTCTCAAACTAGTTAGCATGGCCAGGTGGTAGCACAGACTGTTATGTTTGACATTTTAATACAATTTGGTAATTAACTAAATGGACACAATGCATGGGGGCTATTTCAGGCATTCCCAGTAACCATACTCATACAATCTTTATCTTTTTTTAACAGTTGTGTGTATTTTCAATCTATCTTGTTGTTGTTCATTTATTTTGTGCCGCGTTTTTTAATAATTACTGCATGTTTATAGTTGATAATTATTTACTTTTGCTCTTCCTTGTTTGAATCAAATATTAATAGTTTTATTTATATATTTGTGAGATGGAACATGGTGCATGTTCATCTGCAGAAAGACATGTTTGTGAAATGCCTGGCAGCTGTGTTTTTTAATTTTATTTTGTTGCTAATGCATAGTGGCACGGAGGGTCAAAACACAACAATGTTAGAAAAAGAAAAAAACAAAGCACAAACACGTCATAAAAAACACATCAACAAAACTAGAATCATAATAATGAAGATTCATTCAAAATTTTGTACTATTTTTCCCAATTTGTTTTATTCAAGTTTATGATCATTTCTTTCAAGCCATATTTTTAATTTATTCATTTCTTTAGTAACAACCTCCGTTAGCTGCTGTAGGTTTTTAGATGAACAGAATATATTTGTATCATCTGCAAGAACCACCATCTGCCACAACAGATAATGAACATATGTCATCAATATACAAGATAAACAGTTTGGGGCCCAACACTGACCCCTGGGGGACACCACAAGCAATGTCCAAACACACTGATGTGGAGCTCCCAACTTCACAAACTGTTGACTCTTATGGAGATACTTCCTAGACCAGTCTAAAACTATCCCCCTGATACCATAGTTAATTATACCATAGTTAATTTATTAGTATGACTTGGCTGATTGTGATAAAATAGCATTTGTATTTGAGGAAAGTACCGTCTCCTCATCGCTCCACACAGATCTGATGTTTGTCTCTCCAGTGGATGTTTAAATCACACGCTCAAAGTTTTTTTCCACCTTCACATGAATTAAAATGGCACAACAGAATTTGCATTTATTCATTTGGCAGACGCTTTTATCCAAAGCGACTTACATTTTAGGAACAACATACAAGCATCAAACAAAGCATCAAATACAGATCTTCAACTGACAATACATACTAGTAAGAGCAGCAATAAACACTAGTAAGAGCTCATAGTTCATATCACATCATTGGGGTAAATACCTAGGGAAGGAAGTAAGAGTTAAAAAGTGCTATCAATACAAGATCATTGTAGGAGATAGAAGAAGAATAACACAGGAAGTGCATGTTAGAGGTTAGGAGTTAGAGGTGTTATAAGAGGAAGAGGAAGTGTTCTCAGAAGAGATGAGTTTTCAAGAGCTTCTTGAAGTTAGAGAGGGACGCCCCTGCTCTGATGGCGTGTGGTAGCTCGTTCCACCATCGTGGTGTCACAGATGAGAACAGGGACTGTGATTGCTTTGTGTGAAGGGATGGCAGAGCCAGGCGGCGTTCGTTGGAGCAGCGTAGTGGCAGAGTAGGAACGTAAGTTTGTATTATGGAGTGTAGGTGGATGGGAACAGACCCAGTAGTCACTCTGTATGCAAGCATTAGTGACTTGAAACTGATTCTTGAGGCCACGGGGAGCCAGTGGAGGTCACTGAGTAATGGAGTGACATGAGTCCTTTTGGGCAAAAACCAGATGCGCTGCTGTGTTCTGAACCATTTGTAAGGGTTTCACCGCACAAGCTAGAAGACCTACTAGGAGGGCATTGCAATAGTCGAGGCAAGAGATAACCATGGCCTGTACCAGAAGCTGGGTGGCGTACTGAGTGAGGTAGGGCCAGATTTTCCTTATGCTGTATAGAGTAAAGCGGCACGACCGAGAGACAGTAGCAACATGGTCTGAAAAGGACAGCTGGTCATCAATCATGACACCCAAGTTTTTCACCACCCTGGTTGGAGTGATGGTTGAGGAGGCAGTTTGTAGTTTGATGTTATGGTGGAATTTTCAATTTTGTTCATGTGTTTTCCTGGATGTTGTCTTCCGGCCAGTGTTCTTGTGTTTTGCCTCTCAAAGCCACCATATTAGGGAGAGCGGGGTGAGTTGAGCCAGTTTTTACTTAGTGTCTTTAAAGGTCTCCAACGAAAATATCAATCATATCAATATATCACTTTAAAGTCATCCTGTTTATCGTCAAGTCTCGTGCCACCTGATGTATGGACTTCCCATTTTTGTACCTCTCCCACTGCTCTGTCCAAACCCACAAGAGGAGTTGAAGCCTGTCTGTTTTCCATTTATAGAAGCATGACATGATGGTTTCTGTTCTAAAATGCATCACATCATTTCGCTGATGCATAAGAACGCAATGTAAAATTACAGTCAAATATCAAGTTCCCCCAGGTCTTTTGGCTCAAATCACCCCATCCCTGCCATTTCAACAAAATTGTGTCATCCAGCAGTTTAGAGTTAATGTCACGCTAACAGCATAGCCTCATATTGTAACTTCCTAAAGTACGGTGGCTAAAGCACTAACACATGCATAATATTTTCTCAAACCTGTCTGTAATAGTTCAGACACAAGAATCAGGACTCCTTGAACATAAAAAAAATCAAGTTGAACGGCAAAAACTGTTTTTTGATTTTAACATCTTATTCCATGAGTCTCTCTCCACCACAGGGTGAGTAAAATGATTAACTCTTCAAAAATGTGTATTCATACAACCAATTTTGAAACAAGGGGTGGCTCAACTTCCCCACAGGCTCAAATCACCCCGCTCTCAACTACAGACATGTTAAGACCAGGTAAAGACATGTAATGTAAGAATACAACCTGTTCCAGCTCCTCCCCTCCGGTGGGCGCTACAGAGCACTGTACGCCAAAACCAACAGACACAGAAGCAGTTTCTTCCCACAAGCCATCACTCTGATTTCTGACTCACAGTGTTGGGAACAATTCCTGTGCAATAACCCAGTAACCCTGCCTCTAATCAGCCACCTGTTCACTGGTTACCACTTATTATTTATTCATCATTCTCTATTTCAGAGCTGTTCATCCTGTTCATATTTTCATATTGTATTTACTGTGTACGAAATCCACCTACCTCAAGTAAATAACACCTGCACATACTTATTTATTCCTGCATCCTTTGCACTATGCTCCATCTAACTGTGCACATGTGTACATGTATGTATGTATGTGTATGTGTACCTGTATATCACATCTACCTCCGTCATGTACATGATAATAATAATTTACTTCTGCATCCTTTGCACTCTGCTCACTGCATTATTTGTCAATCTTGTTTTTGTTTTTGTTTATCGTGTGTTTATTTGTCTTCTCTACAATGTAGCCTGTGTTTGATTTTATTATTATATTATTTTATTGTATGAGTAAGCACATCGTGAGCATTGTACAATCCTGAGTCAAACTCCTTGTTTGTGTATACATACCTGGCAAATAAAGCTGATTCTGATTAGGCTTCTAGTAAAGGTCAAACATACAAGTGTAGTAATAATAAGCAAACAACATTTTGAGTAGAGGGGGACGTTTAAGTCACATGCTTCATGTAAGTCATGATTTATTCACTGTTTCCATTGCACTTTGTCACATTTTGTTTTTTCCCGAGACACCCACTTTTCTATCGTCACATGAATTGAAAATGCACATAAAAATCAGATACTAGGAAACGCCATAGATCATGTTATTGTATTTTCTGTAATGTTGTATTTTCAGTTTTGTTCATGTGTTTTCATGGATGTTGTCGTGTTTTGCCTCTCAAAGCCGCCATATCCAGACATGTCATTACATGTACCCCCAACAATAGGCTACTCTGATAAGGATAGGCCTATGGTTTTTCCATAAAAAACTAATGTTAAAATATTGGGGTTTTTTAAACACATAAAAATGCTCTTTCTGCTCTGTAAATATACAAATATTGTTGCATGTTGGACCATGATTGGTTTCTAAACTAGTTTCACACCATGTAAAAACTAGTTTAGATCAAACATCCAAGTAAAGTAATGACGCAAAAAACATTTAGAGTCTAAAACGTTTCAGATAAAAACATAACATTGTCTTGGTAAACTAAAATCCCACTAAAGCAACCATCAACCGTGTTGGCTTTTATTTTGAAAAAACGATGACACGGCGGAAGTAAACAGTAATCACGTTACAACCCCGGAAGAATTGCCCATCTCTGATTAACGTTTGAATAGACAAGAATGAGCAATTTATCTCGGGAAGAAACGATTAGACGCGATGCTCCAAACATCGCACAGCCTTTGATTGTCTTATTTGTGTCTTAATTTTTTTTTTTTGCGTTAATTGGCGGAGGCGGTCGAGTGTGAGCAGCAACGCCCTGATGCCAGCCGACCCGTCGGAGAAAAATATCCTCGCTCTGTTTACAAATCGGCCGAGAGGACTTGTTTCCCCGCAGTGAATCGTTAGCTAATCGTGCGGTTGTGTGTTTTTACAGACGAAGAAAACATGGCTGAACTGCATGTTGTAGAATCGAGTGGCACCAGCACCATAGAGCAGCCCGAGTACCGCGACGTCCGGGGCTCCGTGCGCCTCGCTTCGCCCACTCTCATGGTTCCTCCGCGGAGCAGCCAGCTCAGTCCCAGCGGGGTGTCGAGCGGCAGCGGCGGGCGGTCGGTGTTCGGGTTCCCGGTGAAGAGCAACCCGAGCTCCCCGTCCGAACCGGCGGAGAAGCCGGGATCACGCTGGGTTCGGCTCAACGTCGGGGGCACCTACTTCATCACGACCAAACAGACGTTGTGCAGGGACCCAAAATCTTTCCTGTTCCGACTGTGCCAAGAGGACCCCGACCTGGACTCGGACAAAGTGAGTACACAAAGTCACAGTTAGGGGCTTTCTTGTAGTTTTAATCACTACACACACAAAATAATTGGCTTTGAATCCATTTGTCCCACTGATAATGTGTTTTTATTCAATGCCTCCATTTGGTTGCATTCAGTAGGCCTCTCTTAATATTAGTAATTATATGTTCAGATATAGCAAATGTATGCAAAAGCATCTTTAAAGTCAATACTTGTGCTCCACTGTTGTGTAAGTCTGCAGCTAGTGGTCATTTTTGTTACTGATTCATGTGCTTATGCATCGTTTTTAATGTAAAATCTTAATTTGTGAAGTATCTAGTAACCATAGCTGTCAAATAAATGTAGTGAAAAGTGCAATATTTCCCTCTGAAATGTAGTAGAAGTATAAAGTAGTATGGTATGATGGATATGCGGTGGTTCAAGAAGTACTCTGATATTTCAGTTAAGTCAAAGTAGCAATACCAAAGTGTAGAAATACTAATATGTAAAAGTCCTGCATTCAAAATTTTATTAAAGTGAAAAGTATTGGCATCAAAATTAAGTCCTTATTATGCAGAATGGCTTCGAATGACTGAATTTTAACTATTGAAGCATTAAGACGCTATCACTTTGTTAAAAGCTGGAGTACTTTATAAACTGCTAGCTTGTGAATTTCCCCCCTTATCGTATTTTATTTGTTTTTTTGTGTTACACTTTGTATTATTAATCTGTATTTGCAAAGTAACTATAGTTATCTAATGAATGTAGTGAAGTAAAAAGGACAATATGAATCGCAGTGGAGTAGAAATACTTACTCAAATAAAGTACACAAAAATTACACTTATTACTTGAGTACACAAACGGAAATATGATTGAAATGATTATCATGACATTAGTTGGGATAACACTAAAATAGATATAGATACAAATAATTGTGCTCCATTGTAAAGAAGGAACTAAATTATTATATTCGTTGTCGGCTCATCTGCACATTATTGTCTTTAAATCCATTCTATAAAATGTCCAAAGTTAGTGGGTTATTTTTTTGGGACCAAGAGTGCAAAATTCAAAGATACACAGTTGAAAAGTCTCAACACAAGGTCCTCATCACTTGTTGCCATGATTATGAGAGTTTAAATTGCATTAGATAAAGAAAAGCTCCAGATAATCACAAATGAAACGCTGGAACTGGGTCATATTTGGCATGCAAGCTTAAAAATTACTTGACAACTAATTGAAAAATGAACTGATGAATGAAATTGTTTCAGCGCTACTCTTATGTGTAAAATAGCAGCAAACTATTCCTGATTGTAAAACAAACACTTCAGCAACTAATGTTGTTAGATTTTAATGCAACTGACTTGTAGTCACAATATGATCCTGCCCATAATCAATAAACATTAATGTCAATTTATCACCCACCATAGTTTAAGTCATACATTTCAAACCCTACAAGACTGTATCAAGTAAAGCCGGACATACTTTGGATATTTGAGGTTGTCACAGAGTTAAAAAATCAGATGTAAGCAACTTTTTTTTTATATGAAGGCCTTATATTGGGTTATTAAAGAATTATGAACCAGAAACACAAGTCGTCAGTGCTCCCTGGTAAACAAACATTTCTAAATCGCCTCTAACATATCTGATGATTTGGCTCCACAGTTTCTTGCTACTTATTGGTCAGACGTCACAATATCTGTTTTATCTAACTAAAATCAACCCTACGATTTATCAGTTAGGCTGTACTTTTAATCTTCGTAATGGTGAGTAAAGAGCAAGCAGAAAGCCGGATGTCAAAGATACTTTATGTTTGGATTTTAAAGGTTATTTACTTAAAGCAGCATGACTCTTAAAAATAGATAGGTTGTGCTCTGTGGCTAATATTTTATCCCCTTCTCCAAATTATAAAGTAGTTTTAGCTTTAGCTCCATTTGTCCTTCGAAAATCTAATCCCAAATTATTTTCATCATCAGTTAATCTTCCAAAGTTCAAATAGTTTACAGTCTAAACCCAAATATATTTAATTTACAGTGATGTAAAACAGAGAGAAGCAATGAAATCCTCACATTGGAGATGCTTTGGTTGAGATTTTTGCTTGAAAACTGACCAATCGATTGTCAAATCAGTTTCCGAAAGTGTTTTAGAGCCAGAAACAAAGACAAACATCAGCTAACATCATGAAAAATCTATAGAGTTTATGAAATAACACACAAACCTTCTTGGTAAAAGAGGCTTTTTAAGGTCACCGGGCTTACTGAATTGATCATGAGATGTGTCAGGGTCGAGGTTCAAGTGTCCACGGTGCAACAGTGAGGACAAAGAAACCCCCTACTAGAGCTCGACAAAAAGGCAGATACTTATATCAATATTATAACAAATCCTAGTAGATTAGATTTGTTTTTTAAAGAATTGCCTAGATGTCTTTTTTTTAATTTTTAAAATTATCCACCGGCTCAACTCAAACTTATCTTTGGCATTTCTGTTACAAAATTCATTGTTCCTTACTGATTGGCATATACAGCTAGAGATTAAAACGGTATGACAATTTTATATCACGATTATAGTGACCAAAATGATCAGTATTATCTCAGTTAATAGTTGTTCACATGTGCTGACATTTTTCAAAAAGTACTGATACACACACTGAATCCATTTTACCAAGGTTAATATTGAAAACCAGAAATAGAATTAGCATTAGCTTTTTGTTTGCATAAACATTAAAATAATAAGTATATAATAATTATATAAACATATGAAAACTGCGATACCTCCTCTTATAACACCTCTAACCCCAAACCTCTAACATGTACTTTGTGTTCTCTTCTTCTTCTATCCCCTTACAATTCTCTTGTAATTAATGCACTTTTCAATCAACTCTTGCTACTAGTGTTGTAGTCAAGCCCGCCCAAACCGAGACCAAGTCATGACCAGGAGCATTGTTTATCTACACCGAGACAAGACCAAGACTTTTAGGGGCTGAGACCAAGTCGAGACCAAGACCAGTTCCCCACATTACATGACACACAATAAAATGTGGAACGAGATCATAGGTACTTCTCAAATTGATCAGAAAGATCCACATTCCCATTAAAACACCGATATACAAACATGGTTCGACTTATGGGGGGGATTGGGGGGGTCTGAACCCCCTAGTTAAGGCTTGGACCCCCCCAGAAGTGGCAAAAACAACAGTTCAGGGTTTTTTTTTCTTACCTGTAATTGTAAATATTACAATACTCATGCCTTATATTTAAGAATATTGAAATCTATCCAGCTGCTTTAATACACTTAACTTTCCTACCTTCAGAGTTTCATAATTAGCATTTCTTTTACTTAAAATGAGCTGATGTTAGCTAGCTGAGAGCCCACCCTGTCATTTCATTATTATTATTATAATGTATAATAATTATTTTATGTAATTGTCACTTAACACTGGTGCTTAGGCATGAGCAGTGAAATTGGTTATAAGTTATTGTAGAGATACATTTTTACATCAATATAGAGTTTATTATTTAATTTGAAGTCTTTTGAGTCCTTTCACATTAAACATGGCATTTATTTTACTCTGGAATTCCCAAAAATTCCCAAAATTCCCCAACAACAGTGAACGACTGCTGCTTTACTGGACGCAGATTCACAGTCAACATGAGCAAGAGGAAAGGAGATATTTGCTAATAAAAGAGTAAGTTGATTCTTTGATGAGAATTAGAGATGATGGTGCAGCCTGTATTTTAGGATGGTGTCTTTGGTTCTGGTTCAGCATTGTGTGGGTCTGGTTTGAGCGGTCATGATGGACGGCTGTTGTGTGTCTGACTTGCTGGCAGTTTTGCTCTAGAATACTTGGTGACCCCTAACTACTAAGGTTTTCGTGTGGTATGGGGCCCCCATCAACAGGTGTAATGAATTTGATTCATCATCTACAGACTGCAGACATTAGTTAAATAAGCAGCATATTGTAAGATTTTAGTTCACTGAAGCACACGCCTGCGCTGTACTGGGTTTCCTTTTTTGACCTGGGAAAAAAATTTATATTACTTGATATTCCCAAAGTTATGGTCTTGACTGGTCTTGAGACCGAGGCAAGACTGATTACAAATGCGGTCGAGTCCAAGAAGAGACCAAGACCATCAAACAGTGGTCTCGAGTACTACAACACTACTTGCTACTTCCTCTGGGTATTTATCCCATTGATGCCGTACGCACTAATAGCTCTTACTAGGATCTATTGTTACTCATAGATCTCTTACTTTGTTGATGCTTAGTATGTTGTTCTTTAAATTTAAGTTGCTTTGTGTAAAAGCATCTGCCGAATGAGTAAATATAAACCGTATAAAATGTGCATTAACAGATTAAAGATGTTAAAGTTATAAAGCATATGAGGGACCCAATAAAGAATTAACATAAATACAAATGATATTAAAATGAGTCTCGGAGGAGTTTGCTGCACTTCTAGTTTGCACTAGTTTGATGACTGCTGGTGTTTAAACAAACAAAATATGTTGTTTGGGAGACTAAACTGTGTAACGTGTTAATATGTGCAATGAGTAAATAGAGTCTGCAGACGCACGACGCATACAGCAGCAGAACAACATGTAGTGTTTTTACGGGAGTAGGTAACACAGAGAGCTTCAGGCTACAAGCTTTTAGTAAGTTAGACAGACAAACCATGATACATTCCCTCATTCTGAAGTCCTCACATCACGCATTGAGCTAAAAGTTAACTTACTAGCTTAAACTAACCTCAGCTGGTTGTAATGGCCTGTGTAGGGCTGGACAATAATAATCAATAACAATATAATAAATATCCAATAAATATCCAATAAATGTTTAATTTTATTCACTTGAATCATGCATGAATTGGGACTTAATTTTTTATTAAGATGTTTATTTTGTTGAGGAAAAAGGACTGAAAAAAGCTTTTTTTACTCGTGCATATTTGACGAAGATTTTATCATAATTGTTTTGAATGTTCTACCTCAAGTGACCATAAAGAAAAGTTTAAACCACAATTAACCATCTGGTTTCTTCAACTTTCACTCAGGAGCAAAAATCAACCTTTAAACTCGAAAGAAATAATGATTTAATACTTATCGTGATAATTATTGATATTGAAAAGGTGGTAACGAACTTTTGCTTCTCTTGTCCATCATTCTTTTTTGGATATTATCCAACTCAACATTTTGTCACCGCGATCCAACAGTTGAGGACAAACCAATCCTCCTCACTGCTCTCAACTCTTGGTGTGTTCCCACAGGACGAGACAGGAGCCTACCTGATCGACAGGGACCCCACATACTTCGGCCCCATCCTGAATTACCTTCGGCACGGAAAACTGATCATGGATAAAAATCTGGCTGAGGAAGGTAAAATGTTTTGATCCCTGCTGTTAGATTTTGCTGGTTTGCAGTGTGTAGAGATTAGGGCCGAACGATTAATCGTTTTCAAATCGAAATTGCATTTTGAAAGAACGTACAAGCCAATCACAAGCGCCATGCGCCTCCTGTTACGCTCCTACTCACCAATCCGAGTGGGAACGGGGCGTGTACAATTTACAACATTTACATTTACTCATTTAGCTTTTATCCAAAGCGACTTACAAATGCTATATACGTCAGAGGTCGCACGCCCCTCGAGCAACGAGGGGTTAAGTGTCTTGCTCAGGGACACATGGGTGGATGTGTCACAGTGGATTCGAACCCGGGTCTCTCACACCAAAGGCTCGTGTCTTATCCACTGCCCCATCACCCACAACATCAAACGAAACTAGAGGGAAACATGTTTATGGTGCCAGCCGAACTGAAACAGGCGGCGGTTTTGTTTGGCGTCAACTCACACTGAAGTGTTTCAGCAGCTGAGCGTTTAGCCTGCACGTTGTTAATTTGTCATTTTGTGAGCTCCAGCCCTCTGTGAGCCCGCTCCGCTCTCTGCAGGCTAACGTTACATATCCACATGGACAATTTCAGAATAAGAGCGTTTTGTCTGTCTGATTTTGCTGACTTGTTCAGATTTTGCTCATTTGTTCAGTTGTCCTTGATTTTTGTGCTTCTACTATTGTTAAGTGGGCTACGTAGTTAAATTGTGTCTGTTTTAGGTCTGTTTTAACTGTGTTTATTGTTGATGTACGATCGGGAGGCTGCAAAAGGTGCTGCTTGACGTGGCTTCACTCAAAAATAGACTGGCAGTGAATATTGAACTTCAGCAAAACTTTAAAAAAACAAAATCAAATCGTAATTGCAATATCTGGCAGAAAAATCGCGATTTAGATTTTTTTTCCCCAAAGCGTTCAGCCCTAGTAGAGCTCAAACAATGAGGTCTAATGATCTATTTTTCCACGTCAGGTGTTCTTGAGGAAGCCGAGTTCTACAACATCGCATCACTGGTGAGGCTGGTTAAAGAGAGGATACGAGATAACGAAAACCGGACGTCTCAGGTACAGAAACAAAACAAGGGGAGCAGGTCAGAGGACTGAGAATAGAATTGACGGCTAAATCTGTGTTCCAGACTTTCTTCTAGTACAAATATAACCAAAAATATCTTTTTATTTGTGTTTGTGTGCAGATTATTGATGTTCTTTTGTGTGTGTTTGCTATTGTCATGTCCCTCAGGGCCCTGTGAAGCATGTGTATCGAGTACTACAGTGCCAAGAGGAGGAGCTCACACAGATGGTCTCAACCATGTCGGACGGTTGGAAGTTTGAGCAGGTGCAGAAAATGCAGGGTCTTTTTTTCTCTCGTCATGTTTGAGTTTATGCTTCAGTTGTTTCAAAACTGCAGTTTGAAAATAGTACTGCTAGTTGGCATTGCGTGTCAGAACATATTTAAGGCTGCTGCTAATGATAATTTTAATTCCTGATTAATCTGCCTTTTGTTTTGTGTGAAATTATGTAATGTCACAACAATCCAGTGTTACCTTTTGGCTCTGGAGATGATATCTTCAAATTGCTTCTTTTGTGCAACCAGCAGTCCAAAACCAAAAACATATTTAATTTATTATCAGACTGTTAACACTAACCACAAAAGAAGCCGGAGCCAGTAAATTCTCTGTTTCATGCTGAAATATATAATTGCAGTCTGCACGATGGGCAACAACTAAATGTTTTTAAATGTTCCCCTTCTGATATGTGGAGCTATGTCTCAGACTTTGCATCAAGTTACTCATATAACAAGGCTGCATTTACAGTTATAACGTTCATTCATTCATTCATTCATTACATTTGTCAGCATTATATTTTAGTATGAAATGTTGACATCCTCTATTTTTCATTTTTGTGGCTTTTCTAGTTTTGTGTCATTGTATAAGTGGTTTTAAGGTTTTATGGCTGACTGAAAAGCAGAAAATCATCACATTTAAGAAGCTGTAACCAAGAAGGAGAAAACTTTAGAAATAGTAGTATTACCCCACAATGTAGATTTTAGTTCACAGAACTTAAAGAAAATTCTCTCTGCCCTTAGCTTATAAGTATCGGCTCCTCTTACAACTACGGCAACGAGGACCAGGCCGAGTTTCTATGTGTAGTTTCCCGGGAACTCAACAACTCCACCAACGGCATCGTCATCGAGCCCACCGAGAAGGCCAAGGTGAGCAAATCTGCTGAGTCACTTAAGTGCCGCTATTCTGTATTTGTCTTTTTGTCAACAAGTACCGTGAAGACCAAAACCAACCACTTACAAGTATTGTTTGTGTATTGAAAGCCTGATATACAAAAATATTTTTCTTTTATAATACTGGTTAGTTTCAACTCTTTAGAATTATCAGATGTAACGATCTTCATTGATATTTGCAAAATGCGACAAGAGTTTGCAAGCAGACATTGCTTTATTTTAAGTGATCATAGGCTAAAAAGGACCACTGAACTAGAGCAGTGGTTCTCAAAGTGGAGACCGGGGCCCCCAGGGGTCCTTGAGAGGGTTTCAGAGGGTCCCCAGCAAAAAGGGGAACTGTTGATTTTCACTATAATTCTATCCGTAAGTAACACAAAGACAGACTATTTTGGTCATAGGTTTCATACACTTTCTGTAATAAAAAATCTAAAAGCAAAAATGCAACCAGATGAGGGACCTTGGGAAAATATTTTTATCAAATGGGGGTATAAAATGTGTCAGTTTAGGGGTCCTTGATGTGAAAAAGTTTGAGAACCACTGAACTAGAGCACCACATGCCTATTAGTCCACCGCTGAAAATAATCAATTTACTCCTGTCTGAGTAACTTTTGGTTAAAAACTAGTCAACAGCTGTTTTAGGAAATTACTGCACCTCCTTTTTTTTTGTTTTTTTTTTTTTTTATATGTTTGTGCGCCAATTTTAATAAGTCTTTGAAAAAATGTCGCAGACAAGAAAAGGAAATCTACTTATTGAGACACAAACGAACACATTGTTGGTTCAATAAGAAAAATATAGAATTCATATCTTTATTGATTAATTAATTAGTTGATTAGTCTCTATAAAGTCAGAAAGTGTTGAAAATGACAATCGCGACTTCTCACCGACAAAAAGACATTCCCATAAAAAATCAATTAATGAAACGATTACTTGGTCACACCAGCGTTGTTCTTTAATTACCTTCATAAAAATGGGAAAACAGAAATAAGTCTGTTTCTGTTTGAGGTTTTCCTCTGATTATATTTTCCCTTCTGTTCTCGCAGATCCTCCAGGAGCGAGGCTCCCGGATGTGAAGAGACCCAGATCCTGAGCTAAATAACACATAATCAACAAAAACAAAACAATAACACAAACATTTTCTCCAGTTGTCATCAAAAATCCATGAGTTTACCCCCTCCGCCTTTCTGCCATCACCTACGCCACCCCTCCTCCTCTGGCGTGCCTTTCCACAGCGGGGGCTCCCCGACGGCCCCCTTCTCCTTTATCGCGGGCTGTGGAACACCTCATGGGGAGTTTAAAGGGGAATACAAGTGAGTGGTTTTCCTCATTGCAGCTTTTTGATGGTCAGTGTCACTGCGGTGCGGGCTACGGTGCTGATTGTAGCCCCCTTATTATTGTCAGAGGATGGACTCCCAGCACAGAGCTACTGTAACTCATTATCATCATGTTCATCGTTATTTTCAACGCTATAAACGGACAGGATACTTCCTCTCTCTTATCCATTTGGCTCTGTCGACTTAGCAGAACCCTCCTCAGGACTCTCAAAGGACATAAAGGAATAAACTCCACTGACTGAGCCTCTCTCTTTACCCGAGAGCCCGCCGCCTCCCTCTCTGCATCCCCAGACTCCTCGGCTGATATCTGAGGCTGCTCGCGGCACAACAAGCCGAGCCAGCAGGTGGAGGGAGAAGTTGCAGGCAGCGTGAAGCAGAGTCCGATCGCTCTTTTTGAGCCAGCCGGGTGCGGCATTTCCTCAACTCTCGAGTCTTTAGAAACACCTTAAACGAGTGAGAAACGTTCATCGAGCAGACGCTTTCTCTTTCTGCCGCTGGAAAATCTCCTGTTTTTGTTTTTTGTTGTTTTTTTTTTTAGCTCGGTCTGTCCTACCAGGGAGAAAATTAGGGATATTGCAGCGCAAAAACAAAACAAATGACTCAAAAAGACTAAACTACACCTGTGTACAATTTGTCAAGGCATGTGAGGAATCTATATAAATCTATATAGGCTACATGATGAAATTATATGAAAAATGGAATGCAAATGGTGTAATTATTGTTTTCTGTATCATAGCTGTCATATATTTACATATTCTGGAGGGTGAGTCTATTTAAATGACGGAGAAAATATAGTTTTTTCATAACCAGTTTGCTGAAGGTCTCCCACCTGGTAACATGGATGTGAGTAATGTGTATGCAGTGCCTCTGCTTTCTGTCCGTGACTGAAATATCACAAGTTTTTCAGCTGCACGTGTTCCTCAAAATACGTTTTCTCTTATGATATCCTACTTTGATCTCTTGCATATCTTAAAATTGTAATTAGGGATAAGGAAAACTACTGTCATTGCCATTTGTCCACACAAGCGTGGCGTGGCTCGAGTGGACTGTGGCGAATTCGTATGCTGCCTCAAAACCCTGAAGCACTGCTCTCACCCCAGCCTTGTGCTACTCTCACGCCAATATTCATTCACTTCGCAGCTGCCTCTGTCGCCAGTCCTCAACTCAAATGACTGTGTTGTCTTATGTTCTGCAGCACTTGTAGCAACTGTGGCGCGAGCTGAATTGTACTCCTCCTGAGCCTACATTATCACAAAAATTTATATACTGTAAGTGAACCTGCCAGATGCTGTGTCTTCAGTTTTCTGAGCTTCGTAGTGAAGCCTGCATTTCAGATGTTATGTGACATTTCATTTCCAGCAGATAGGTACCAGCTTGACATTAAGTTGCCATGTGATAGCGCCGTTTTAATGCCTTGTAACAACATAGGAGCAGCAGATATACGAGCCTGGTTCAGACCCTCGCTGCACACACAATAATTATAAGGCTAAATATACTCGTATGTGTTTTGAAATGTTTCATAAGTGATGTGCAAGATAGTTTAATGACATTTTTTGCAGGTAAAACTGAATTGGCTTCTATTTTGAAAACTGCAGGGCTGCAACCTATTAGTCAGTTAACATAAAATGTATCTGCAACTGTGTTTGCTTTCAAGTGTTTTTTGCTTTTTTGTTTTATTATCTTTGGTTCTGGATCTTATAAAACAAGAGATTTGCAGATGTTTCCATGGACTCTGGGGAAAATGTGATGTTTTGTAGACTAAACTATTGGTTAATTGAGAAAGCAATTGGCAATCATCGTTAGTTGCGGCCCTCGCAGTCACCAAACCACAGTGCCGCACCTATTGATTGTTTTACAATTAATCAATGACTTGTTTAATCTTTAAAATGTCAAAAAAAAATGGTTTAATTCCAAAAGCAAGCTCCTAGAGCCCGTGATGACAACATGTCATGATGGCAACTGTCAAAATCCTTGAAGATATTCAACTTACAATTATATTTAACAAAGAAGTAACATTTGTTTTTTTGCCATGTTTGCTTGGTAAAAAACTTAAAACACAGCACACAACCGTAGTTTCACCACTACACCCTAAAAGAGTACAATGTTGACAAATGTGAATATAATGTTGTTAACTGGTGTAAATGCAGCCCAGGTATATGAGCAACTTAATGCAAAATTGGAGCAGGTTTCCACATATCGGATGGAGAATTGAAACATCTGGTTGTTGTGCAGACTGAACTCATTTTAATCACTGGCCCTAAAAGCTGGCATTGATCACTTTGATACACAATTCTTTGTACAAAGGACATATTTGATGCAGTTATGTTATATCAAGCATGAACTAAAAGAATGCGAGAAAAAAAAAGGCTACCTTGTTGTTGTCATGCTCCATGAACGTGTTCAGTGGGGCCACAGAGCTCAAACATTGATGTGACTCCTTCATTGTTGTTGGGTTTTTTTCTTCCCTCTCGACTGTGTGTTGTGCAGTTTTATTCTGCTACTCTGAGTCGTGAGCAGACTGCGTGCTGCTAAAAATGCCCAAAACATTTCACTGAGGGGAACGTTTTCTCCCTTGTTGTTCTCTGGGCCTTTGCAAAGCACCTTGAGTGTTGTTTCCCCTTCGTCTGTGTCCAGTGTTGTGCCTTTGACCTGTGTTGTGCACAGTTGTTCTTCCCTCTTATCATAAGGTGCCTCTCATACCTTTAAAAAGCCAGGAGGCACTGACCTGAGGTATAACGAATAATGCGGTCTTTAGCTTGTTTTTCAAATCGTGGTGTTTCAGTGAGGGGCAAGCCAAACAAATCCACTGTCCCCTGTGTTATTTTAAATGTTATGATACATACCGACAAACTGAAAATGATTACCAGCTGATTTCTTAGTGCCATTGCTTTTGAGCTAAATCCACCCACAATCCCTTACACTCCTGGAGGTTCAAAATTGTGTCCTAATCTGCTGTAAACACCGGTGGTGGTTGGCACTGTGTTTACAGCACTACCAAATGGGAGGGAAGCAGGAAGACCAGTTTCCTTCCTCTGCTTATATCTTAGTAAAACTCCAGCAGTGCTCTTCTCATCGGAAACCGATTTGACTACAAACTCGCCATCATTTAGCTTCTAATTTTCTCTTGAGTTGCGTGCTGAAACCGTCTCTAATGATTATTTTTTAGACGATCAACCTTTTAAAGCACTTGCGGTACCTGTCACCTCTGTGAACCCAGTTTCATCTTGGCTGCACAGTTCAGTGGTTCCTAATCGGAGAGTGACTCACAAAATAGTTTCCACAAGATAGGAAAGCGAGACAAAACCTTCTATATGTTACACCGACATATTTCTGCTAGAGATATCTGCATGTTTTTCTGTCTTTCCTCTAATAGTATCTTTTTAATAGCCACGCTAGGATGGCGGCGTCAGTCGGTCCATCACTTTGCTCCAAACTGAAATATCCTGACAACAATTGCCATGAAATTTTGTTGAGACATTCATGTTCTCCAGAGGATGAGCTCTAATGACTTTGGTGATCCTCTGACTTTTCATGTAGCGCCACCATGAGGTCAAAATTAAAATTTTAAATAAAAAATGAAATATATTTGCAAAACTAGAGACTTCCCCATCAGTCTCAGCCGCACTTTGCTTTTAGTGCTAAGTGGCCAAACAAGAATAGTGAACATGGTAAAAATTATACCTACTACACATCAGCATGTTAGCATTTAGCACAAAGCACAGCTGTCCCCTCACAGGAGCCTCACAGAGCCGCTAGCAAACCAGTAGGCAGCGTGGCTTTAGGAATGTCTGTCGGTTTACCGCTTAAGTCCAGACTGAAATATCTCAACAACTATTGTGTGCTATGAAAGTTTGTACAGGTTTATGACCAAATACCTGCAAAACAAATGATATTCTCATGGGCCTCAGCTGGATTTTGTGCTAAGGACTGATAAATAAAATCTGAACATGCTAACACACCACTAACAAAGTTAAAATTATATCTTTTAACCCTGCAGACTCTTAACCTTGTTTCTTGTGAATGACCGGATTTACTTTTGAGAAATGGGAGTGGGTGTCGCAGGTACACATGCAACCTGAGACACAGACTAAAAGCTCGGGAACCACTGACCTAGCTGAACTTCGCAGTGTGATTATCTTAACATTTGAATCAAGCACCTGTTTTTCTTTTCGCCTACGCTAGTTAGTCACCAGATAACAAATCTGCAAAAATATATATCTCTGTTGTTTGGGCACGTGAAAACATGAGAGCATGCATTGTTCTAGAGATTACGGTGTTGTGTACAGGATTTTGTCTGACCTCTGTGTTAGTGCAAAGTATATGTTATGCATGGTGGGGTGAGGGTGGGGGGGAGCCGAGGGGAAGGCATGGCTCTGTGGTATGTAGGTGTAGGTGTGTCCTGTGTGGACAAGTTGGTCTACAACTAGACACTTTCTCTACTCACATGTTCTGTTGCTTTGTTGTTTTTGTATCTTTGTCATGTCAATTTAACCAAACAGTAGATTAAAAAAAAAAAAAAAAAACGTAGCTAGTTTTGAACACAGATTAACCAACCAATCAGATTGCAGAACCCCCTCACTCCACACACACACGCAACCTTGGTTTGTAAAGCATATACCCACAGGTCTACACACAAAAGAGATTTTTTTTTTTTGTTTAATTCATGAATCATTTTGCCAGTTAATCTGTGAACACCTGCATGCGTTTGTGAACACGCACACCTGTACACTCATTTAGACGTATTGAAAATGTCACCTATTAATGCTTCGTATTCATTTATCAACAGTATTGATGTCAAATGTGAATATTGTCAATGGAGACCGTGGAGAAATGTTTGGAAGCTGACAAAACATTTTGTTCGATTTGCTTGTTTCACTTTTCATTTGTTTTATATTTTTTGAATTTTGTCTACCAACGTTGTTTCTTTACATGTAACAATTTTAACAAAACCCTGTCTGGTTTTTAAATCATAAAATGTGTCTGTGTTTTAAAAGGTGGCTCGCTGCCTGTTTGTTGTTTCTGTTTACTGTGGATTTAATTAAACAGGATGAACATGCTTCAATCAAGAACATAATGACAGAAAGTTTTAGCCTCTTTAAAAACCTGTTCTTGCCATGAATATTTTAGTAGTTTCCTGTTTGCATATATTTTCATTGCTTACCATGTAGTGACGAGTAAAACCATGGATGTCAAAGGGCACATACTGTACTGTACATAAATAATAAGGTGGTAAACTCTCAAATTTACATGGGCCAGATTTTAAAACGAGGAAATGTAGATGAGACAGACATTTATAGCAGCCTATTTAAAAAAAAAAAAAGAAAAAAAGAAAAAGTTTAGCTTTTGGAAAAGACCAATTCAAAACAAATGTACTACAAAATAGAAGATAAAAAGTACCACTGCCGGGATTCATTGTCAAATTTTCATGTCAGGGCCGAGAAATATATTCAGGAGAGCACTTCCCTACTTGTGTCTACAGATTGAGGTTATCAAATGACAACACAAATAAAGTTAACTGTCATGTTTAATCTTTATAAATAATAAAGTAAATGAAGCAGAACAAGAACACAGAGTGTCAGAGATGCAAACCAACAAATATTCTTGTACATCGAAAATGGTGTGACAATCCCCTCCTCCTCCTCCTCCTCCTCCTCCTCCTCCTCCTCCCGAGAGAGATGGTCTCTTAACTGGAAGTCACCTATATCTTTTTGGGATGGGTATCATTAGGATTGTATTGATACTCCTTCTTGGTTCTTTTTCATGACTAAAGTATTTAAAATATATAATTTTATTTTTTAGGATTTGAATTTAATATTTTATTAAAACTAAATGTTTCTAGAAAAAAATAAGACCTACTTTATTAATCCTGCTAGGAGGAATTACATTTTGTCACTTTTATACACACATACAGAACCTATACACATGCAAAGATGTTAGAGGGAGAGGGCTCCAAGCAGGTAGTTCAGGATGTGAGCTGGCCAGTCCACACTGCTCTGTGCTGGACTCGAATCGGCGACTCTCTGTTTCCCAAGCCAAGTACCCACAGACTGAGCGACTGCCACTCCAAAAAACAGTAACGCTTACAAGTCAAGTTATCATGTGTCATTTACACTGAGGACACTAAGGACATGTCCCCACCACTTTTTGAAAACATTTGTTAAATATGTTCTGAAAAATAGCTTGCAACAAGAACAAATTAAAGGTTTATTTGCACAATAAGTATACTATATTTGCAATGTAACTATAGAAGAAACAAATGTGCGTTGTCCCAAAAAAGTAACTGATTATGTGTAATATTCCGTTTTACTATTTTTTTATTTATAAATAGTATAATAGTATAATAGTGTTAAAATATCTCGAGCTAAGTGGGCCCTTATGTCCCCACCACCTTTCAACATAAAGTGACGCCCTTGCACTGTATAATCTTAATAATAAGATTATACAATAAGATTGTAAACAAGTCTGACATATCAAAATAATTCATACTCCTGACATCAAAAATACTGGGTGAAGTTTAGAAAGAATGAAAGCCTTCAGTCAGTATCAGCCCTTCCTCCTCCTCCTCCCCCTCCTCCGTCTGATGCTGGCAGAAAGAGGAGCGGCTGTTTTCTTTCAGCCTGCATACCGGTATTTGTTTACAGGGACTTGTGTCAAACAAAACTAGACAGACAGACAAACAGCTGTCGTCTCAGCTTGTCACTTGCCCAGGCAAGTTGAGCAACATCCGCAAACACCCGGCCTGATCGGTACAGCGCATGTGCAACTCTCAGCTGAGACGAGACGGAAAGAAAAGGCTCCCTCCTTAGCTTCTTTCAGCCTACACCATATGTAGTTTATATTTATTTTGTCATCTATTTGAATTATGAATGGGCCACACGGAGGTTGCTTCTGGGCCGGATGTGGTCCGCGGGCCGCCAACTGAACCCACATTTTGTCACCTACCCCTGGTGGTATGTAGCCATGCAGAAAGCTTTGGTTTTGAGATATCGGACTCTGAAACATCTTCCGCCTCTTCAGTACAAAGGAGGTGAGTAAAATTTTGCGCAACACATGAAATTTTTATTATTATTTATTACACATGAAAAAACAACCACACACCTTAAACCAAAGTGACAGATATATCTCAAAAACAAACAGTGGTGGAGGAAGTTTTCAGTTCCTTCCTACATAAGTTAAAGTAGGTGTTGTTACTACACTCTAAAAATACTTTGCTACCTCTATTGAAAATTAATAATTAGGAAAATGTATAGTCTTCTTAAAGTATTAAAAGTATTATATTCAGTTTACTAACAGAGATGAGCAAAGAAACCAGAAAATATTCACATTTAAGAAGCTGGAATCAAAGAAGTTTGACTTTTTTCAATCAAAATAGAGCCCAAAGTGACACCTTCACAATGCTTGTTGTGTCCAAACCTCAACATTATTAACAAACATTTAAATTAATCCAATCATTAAAAGGAAAAGCAGCAAAACTTCACATGAAGCTGAAACCATGAATTGTTGTTATATAATATATTTTTATTAAAATACTTGACTACTCATTTTCTTTAAGGGATTAATCGACTAATCATTTCAGCTCCACTAGATTAAACTGTTCTGTAGTTTAATTTATGACAAAGCATCATCGTAATAAGTGGCATAAAAAGAAAACTCACATCAGTACAGTATTCGAGTACTTGTTACATCCCAACACTGGAAACCAAAGTGAGTGAGGTAACTGTTGCTTTGCACCTGTAACCACAACCAACCAACAGTGACGTCACGACATCCTGGAGTACACGTCACTGCAACAAGGTGAGAAGTTAAACCACCAGAGGTCAGCAAGATTAAGACTATCACGGTGTGTTGAGTAAAAGTGGCAGGACCAGAGGGGGAAAATACTCGTAAAAGTCCTGCATTCACAATCTTACTCAAAGTGCAGAAGTATTATCAGCAAAATGTACAAAAAGTTTCAAATTAACAATATATATGCAAAATTCCTACCAGAGCAAGGTTTCCATTATAACAAAAGCTATTACTTCAGACAGTATTGTTGTTATATGACCAGCTGCTCTTCCAGTGGGGAAAGTAATCAGATCCTTTACTTAATCAGAAATAGCTTTATTGCCAATTTGACTAGTCCTATGTATATATATATATAAGAATTTGACAAAATATGCATTATAGAACAATAATAAAGACTAATGTTAATTTGCATTTATTTATTTACATAAAAACAAAAAAGCAGCAGTATAGCCTAAGTAAAAGTGCTTAAACCTTTGTGTAAAAGTACTGCAATCAAAACATTAGGCTACTTAAGCAGTAGCAAAGTTTACTTAAAAGTACTCGCAGTGCAGTATAATGTTCCCTGTCAGTGTTTCTGATGTTTCTGGATTAATATTGCTGCTGCATTAATGTTTTTTATGTTGCATTTTACTGCTGCAGATGTTTAAGGTTGAGCTCATTCTTTATATCCTGCTGAGAAGTTTAATCTGCAGTAATGCATCACATTCTATATGATCATCATATGTTTGTTGGGTTGCTGTTTTCAGCTTTGTGATGATGCATTTTCCAGCTGATCCAAGGAGGGTTTAAAAAGATTATTCTGCTTAAGTTGTAGGAGGAACACTTCATCCTTTATCAGAGACAAACTTGTCTCATCCCTTACCGCCCCTTTCGGGCGCCTGTGTGTGGTGCAGCAGGGCCGGGGCCTGCATAGCATCCGCATCCGACCCTCGCAGTCGGCCACGTCCAGTCTCCGCCCACCGTGAGCGCGCGGGCGGACGCAGCAGCTCCGTGAGGAGGAGGCTCCCGGACGGCAGTTGCGGCTCCCCGGCAGTCATCGAGGAGCTACCGCGCCTGTATGTTTGTGTGTGAAGCAGAGGAGGAAGAGGGAGGGGACTGACAGGAGCAGGACGACCAACAAAAAAAGGTGATTTTATTCTCACATTTTAGAACGGAAGAGATGTAACCAGTGAAATCGTTTCCTCTTTTCTGCGCAAGTGCTGAACCCGTGAGGTTCAGCATATGAATCAATAAAAAGGTCAGGAAAAAAATATATGAGGCAAGGTTGCTTTTTCTGAAGCGACACGTTTAGTGTGGCAGAAGATTATAACAGGGCTGCGGTGGGTCTGGACTGATAGTCCGCGTTTTGCTGAGCTTTCCAGACGTAAACAAGCCGACATAATTACGAGCTGCCACGTGGGTGAAGCTTGCAAAACGACTGCCTGTTAATACAGTAAAAAAATGTGGACGAAGAAAATATTTAAAGCAGATCAAGGTCAGGAAGTGCAGCTTGGCGTCAGTCTACAAAACCCCCTATCTGATATGTCAAACAGGGACAATTACGCAGCGCTCCCATCCCTCCGTGGGGCTGTCCCACGGGGGAGATCAGCTGCTCAGCATCACTTTAATTTATAAAGGGAGACACGCAGAGGATTCTCCCAACACACTTCCTCACCCCTGACACCTTTTTAATTACATTTAAGAGATGTATTTGTCTGCAGTGGAGCATGCAGGAGGTGAGAGAGAAAAACAGGACGTCCTGGCTTGGAGGCTCAGATTGCTGAGATATGTGCGGGACCTTTTCCTTGTCACTGATCCATTACACACTCAGAATAGTAAGAGGAATATGAAGGGAAGAAATAAGTGAGTGACAGCCAAACACTATATGGCCTAAAGTAGCCTGTGTGCACAGCCCTGCCCTGTCCAGTTTGTTGCTTTTGCTCTGGAGCTGTTTTTCATGGCTTTCACTAGTCTCAGTTTGTATCTCATTACATTTGAGCCACAGAGCTAAGCATCCCATTTCGAGAGTTAATACAGTGGTTTACCAACAGGTAACGCTGTTCTGAATGGATCTACAGAATCCTCGAAGAATATTCACTACATATTCTGTCTGTTGCACAACAGAAGACTTCAGATCCCCCGTTTCTTAAAGGAAAAAAAATGTCTATTTGTTTTCTTGCCAAGAGTTTAGGTGAGAAGATAACAATCTCATGTCTGTAAGGTAAAAATATGAAGCTGCAGCTGGCTAGTTTATAGCTTAGCACATTAATCCGGAAACTGATGGAAACAGCTAACATGGCTTTGTCCAAA